CTCATGGCTGTGGGATCCTGCCCCAGGGCTGTAGGTTTCATTTTAACCCTGCTCTCAAGCTTGGAGGAGCAGCCTCACCTTGCACAGCTGGCTTGCACTAGTGCTTGCTGCCCTGTGGAGGTGTCCGGCTGGGGCTGCATCGGGGCAGGAGAGCTTTGAAGGTGGAAAAAAAGCACCTAGACCCTGAGTCGGGGGTTGTCCTTGCAGGAAGCACGTCCCTGCCCGAGCCTGGGGAAAAGAGGGGACACAAGGTGCTTTAAGTTGATTGTGCTGGCTGGACAGACCAATCAGCATGGTTTACCAACCTTCCCCCAGTCAACGCCCTGAGTCAGGACTCTCCTCCATCCATGACCACTGGGATTTCAGAATTTGCTTTCTGGAGATTCGAGTCTTGCAGGTTCACATTTTGAAGCTCTTCTCACGAAGTTGAGGCCCAGACGCTTGTGTAACTGAAAGTCCAGGTTCTTGTGCCATCTCACGACCAGGTAGGGCTTTCGGAGAAATACGGAACAGCTCGAGATGTGCAATAAAATCACAGAGCCTGCAGCAGGCCCCTGTTCCTGGTTTCCAAGATGCTGACTGACCCCCATGACTGATTCCCAAGAGCTGGAATCTTTTCACAAATATTCTCAGTTGGGGCTTTTCCTAACTAGGGCGGCAGGAAGATGCGCTGCCCCTTCTCCATTGCCTGCATGGCTGGTAGCAAGGATCCAGCTTGCTCCTGGGTGGCATCCATAAACCAATGCAGGGGAATCACTGAGTCCTGCTGTGATCAGCCAGTGGGTGGCAAAATGCATAGGGTGGGGGCGGGGCCAAGAGAGGGGCTCAGGGCTGAGCCACCGTGACAAACAGGAGCTGTGCATCCCAGCCCTGCCGCAGGGACGGACTCACCTCCCGGGCTGCAAGATCGGCCGTAGCTCAGACAAGTTCTGGGTCTGATGCAGGAGTTCCTGGGGGAGGGTCGAGAGCCCGGCTTCTGCAGGAGCTTAGACGAGATGATCAACGGTCCCTTCTGGCCTTAATATCGACACATCATCCTGCTAGTAGCTGCCGGCTGGTACGTGAGACCCGCACCCAGAGACCCAGCCTACTCCCCGAATTGCCTGGCCTCTGGGCCCGCTGCCCAGCCCAGGGAAGTTCTACACCCAGCTGTCCCTCGGTGTGCAGTGGACGGGGCGCTGACCGCTGCAGACAAACCGGGGTGCCCATGATGGGGGGGTCTGGGTGCCCTCTCACATCGCCTCACCCCCCCCGTACCGCCTGGTTCAGAAACGCCCCCTCGGGCTCGA